TTACCTTTGGTAGGGGGAAACAAGAGTCAATTATTTTTGCTACCTTTAGCTGCAAGATTAACTTAGCAATGCTTAAAGGAGCTGGCCTTTCTCTGAATCCCTTACCATATAGGGGGAAACTGCAGAGTCGAATCCGGCTCGAAGGACCAAAATGTTCACACTATAAACTAATGCGTACACTTAATGAGTTCAATTCGGGTGTTTGAATCTAACTGACTCGCTGCTGCGAGGGCATCGCCTTTTATTCATTCTTACATAGGTTCTTATCATCTAATTATATAATGCAGCGCTTGTAAGACGCTGCAGTCTGCGTTGGTCAATGCAGCTGAGGTTTATCTCAAATCTATGTTTGAAGCCTATGACCGCGCTAGTCACCTCCCGCGTGATCATATCTCTTGACACTTCGGCAATAGACCACTGCAACCGTACTTATCTGTAGTTGCCACTTATGCTGTCCCGTGACATGTTTATTGCAGCCCTTAAATAGAACATATTTATAGATTGTCTACTTATCATGTCTAAACACATGTTTAGACAGCAAGCGTTTCCGACCATATAAAGTATATATATTCATGATCAGGTTCAATAGCCGAGTCGAACTGATCTTGTCCGTATGTCCGTCCGTCTGTCCGTATGAACGCCGATCTCGGGAACTACAAAAGCTATAATGTTGAGACTAAGCATGTAGCTTCCAGAGACACAGACGCAGTGAAAGTGACTTCCACTGGCTGAGTAACGGGTATCTGATAGTCGGGGAACTCGACTATAGCATTCTATCTTGCTTTATTTCGATACACACAGAGAAAGGGGAGAGAAAGAAAGTAAAAACAGCAACTAATTCACACTCATTTTAAAGTCTGTTTATATGCATACTCGAAGTTATCCAATTTGTATCAGAATTAACATCAGTAACAGACATTAATTAACATTTAACAATTAACATTTCAACAGACGCCATTTTCATTTTCTATCTGTGCACTTTTATCTGCTTGAACAGCGTTTGGGTGATGGCCTCGATTGCCGTGGTGGGCAACCTATTGGTCCTGCTGGGGCGCTACTTCTACAAGTCACGGAGCAATGTGGAGCACTCGCTCTACCTCCGCCACTTGGCCGCCAGCGATTTCCTCATGGGCATTTACCTCACGTTGATTGCCTGTGCGGACATTAGTTTTCGCGGCGAGTACATCAAATACGAGGAGGCCTGGCGGCACAGCGGCGTTTGTGCCTTCGCAGGTGCGTATCCTTCTCCGGCCATCTCGCCCCTAATGGGAGGCTAATGCGAATTACGTATACGCCGTGTAGGCTTCCTCAGCACCTTCAGCTGCCAGTCGTCGACGCTGCTGCTTACGCTGGTCACCTGGGATCGTCTGATGTCTGTGACGAGGCCCCTCAAGCCGCGGGATACGGAGAAAGTTCGGTAAGTGTTGAGGGGAATACCAACTTGAACTGGAATTGTAGTAAAGTGTATGGCAAAGGTTATTGTTTATCTTATTACATTAGTTACTTGTGCTGCAGACAGTTGCCGATTTGTTGACTGCTCAAATATCAATGCCCAGAATTTGATTTGCCTCCATGCTTTGCTCGTAATGCAATTATATTTGTTTTGATTGTTTTTCTACTGCTTCATTTTAGTTTGCATAAGCTTTTGTTTTGCATGTGTAGGCCATTATAAATTATTAACAAGATACCTACCATAGAATTGTCCTGCGTCTTTTGCTGTTGTGGGGCATAAGTTTCGGATTAGCTGCTGCTCCACTCCTGCCCAATGCCTACTTTGGAAACCATTTCTACGGGAACAATGGTGTCTGCTTATCCCTGCATATCCACGATCCTTATGCGAAGGTAATCTCCTTTTCCTGGGAAAACACTCTCTTAATATTCCAAAATATACCAAAAGTAATCTTATAGGGTTGGGAGTACTCGGCGCTATTGTTCATCCTGGTCAACACATTGTCACTGGTTTTCATCCTGTTTTCCTACATCCGAATGTTGCAAGCGATCAGGGATTCCGGTGGCGGAATGCGGAGCACTCACAGCGGTCGCGAGAATGTGGTAGCCACTCGGTAAGTTTGGTAATCCAAGGAAAAGGATTCCATTAAAGGAATATCATATTTGTATAGCTTTGCCATCATTGTGACCACCGACTGCGCCTGCTGGCTGCCCATAATCGTGGTCAAAGTGGCTGCCCTCTCAGGTAAGTTGATCTGCAACACCTTTATATTATTTATGTTGATTACCTACTAAATATACCCACTTTAGGCTGCGAAATTTCGCCCGATCTTTACGCCTGGCTGGCGGTACTTGTGCTGCCAGTGAACTCGGCCCTCAATCCAGTGCTCTACACCTTGACCACTGCGGCCTTTAAGCAACAGCTGCGCCGCTATTGTCACACACTGCCCAGCTGCTCGCTGGTGAACAACGAGACCCGATCCCAAACCCAGACTGCCTACGAGTCCGGACTCAGTGTCAGTCTGGCGCACTTGGGCGGCGGTGTGGGCGGCGGATCGGGGCGAAAGCGGATGTCCCACCGGCAGATGAGCTATCTGTAGGCGGCGTAACTGGCGGCGTAAAATGCAGCACGAGATCAACAGACTTACATACGAGTGGGGCTAGAGGGTGGGTGGCTTCACCACAGGACACTTCCAAGTAATTGGTCCCTTAAACGTTTGGTATTTTACGTACTTATTATTCTGATATCAATTCGAAGTTATTTATCACAGGGCATTTATGTTGCTGCATTTCCCATGCACACTTTAGACATGCAAACAACAGATTCCAGCTAGACTCAAGCATATTGTATTTAAGTTTGTTTATTGTTTATGATTTATTTTGCGCTTAGAAGATATTCAATCCTTCCTGTGTAAATTACAAAAGTTGATTTGTTACTAATCGTTTTAAGGCAAACCACTTACAACTGTCCAAAGAATATTCTGACTATTTGTTGCATCCCCATTAATTCGACCTGCCCAATGGGGCATTGTTACATGTGATCTAATAGTTAAATCTTATTGTAATTCTATAAATACATATTCAGATGTTAATTGAACCTGTCGCTGTACATACGATTTAGAATCAAAAGCCGCAAATGCTTGGCATACCGACCTCTAGGCATTACCCTGCGGTTCGGTGGCTATATCGAGGTCCGCCTGGACGTGATAGGGTCCCTCGTTCACGTAGGCTGTGAAACGGACGGTTTCGGTGGGCGAAAACTCGGCGCTGGCGGACAGAATCTCCATGATTTGCCACTTGATATACTTAATGTCCCTGTGCAGATCCCTTTGACGCGAAAGCAGGAACTCCACAGCACCGCCGGTATTCTTCAGAGCTACAATGCCCCAGCCGTACTTACAAATGGTCTTCAACAGCGCCAAGGCGGCCATTTGGAGGTCAGGGAACGGGGTGTTGATCAGGTCCATGATGGCATTAGCATGCGCTCCCCCAGCGAAGCACTCATACCAGCTTTTAAGAATGGTACTGGAAAAAAAGGAAAATCATTAGCAGGAAAAACTTTAAGAGTAGAGTGCAAAATTAATTAATTACTCGATTTCCTTGGTGGGCGGTGTCTCCACCTCATAAATCACATCCAGGGAGTTGAGCAGTCGCTCTTTGATGGGCGCCGATAGCTTCTTAGTGTATGAGCCATACATCTTAAAGGAATTCTCCATGGCCGCGTTAAAGTGCAGATGCAGCAGCATCTTACCCTGCGGAGTACTGGCTAAATTGGCCAGCGTATCCATGGCGGTGGGCAGAATACTCTCATCCTCCGATTGCAACTGCTGGAACAAGCAGGCCAGCATTTGCGGGTATCCGGCAATGATCTTTAGAGGCTGGTATGCGGCAATTTTGCCGAAAAACTTCATGATACTGGGTATGAGCAGGGCGTCTAGCGGATGCTCCTCGATGCGTTGGACCCGTGTGCTGATTACATCCAAAACGCGACGTCGTTCCATGTAGGAGAGACCATGGTTCTGTTCCGCCAGTGGCACTAGGAGCTCCATTACGCTGGCCTGCAATAAGACATCGTCGTTGTCCAGTTCGCTGAGCGCCGCGTCCAGAATGAATTTGACAGCACTGAGTGAGGCGGCACTCTCCTTGGCCAGGACCACTGCCAATTCGTAGGCGCAGCACCGCACAATCTCATTTTGCTGGAGGAGGTGCACCAGTTTGGCCTGCACATCGGCATCGCTGAGTCGCTGAACAAGCACAATGGACAGGATATTGATGGCTATAGAGATTCCCTCCGTCTCCGGCTGTTTCAGCTCGTCCAAGATGAGGAAAATAAGCTCATTGTTGGGCAGGGTACGAACCTGCCCGGCAACCAGCTGGCGGCGCAGCTCCTTGAGTAACCTGGCCAACACCAGGGCTCGCAAGGCGGGATTCGGGTGAGTCAGGCCACGTCTCAGCAGGCTGGGCAGCTGCTCGTCGGCGGTGTCCATCGCCAGCTGATCAAGGCAGTGGCCCAGCAACTCCAGGGTCACGTCCACAGCCTGATCCTTGGGAACATGGGAATCCACCGCGGAATTGGCGCAGTCATACAATTCCGCAGTGGTCAGCAGGCGTTCAATGATTTGACGCGGAAGAGCCGCCTCCTTCGCGATGGTCGTGTTCATCGTGGTCAGCGCCTCGAGGCGTTGTGGCCTCGACTCCAGAGCCTTTAAATTGGCCACCCACCAACTGTCCTCCATTTCCTTATGTTTTTTCTGGGTTAAAATGACAAAGTCGGTTTCAAACCTATCGTTCTTCGATTTCAGAAGACGTTATTTGTCCGAACTTATCGGCGCCTATCGATGTTGCTTATGTATATGCTGTGACACTGCAACTATCGAACGTTCCTAAAAGCAAGTGTGTTCTATCGATAGTACCAAATATAAGTTTTTCTTTTATTGATTAATCATTCATGTAAGCCGACTACATTGTACAAAGTTTTTAAATGTACTGTATAACTGTAACTATATAAAAATGTAAAACACCGTTGAACGTTGAAACCGATAGCCGCAGCCCTGTGAAACAGTATGTTAACCATCGCCCAGTCGACCACCACCAGTAATAGTGCAGCCCTGTTTTGACGCCATTTTACAGGCAAAATTGTGTGTGTGTTTGACGCGTTGTTGTATTGAAACAAAAAACCAGAAATTTTCCTTCGGCTGCAAAAGGCAACTGTTTACGGCCGGAAAAAAGGGAGGAGCTTCTAGCAAAGATGTCGCAACGCTTTGCACCTGGCCAAGCGCCGGTGCAGTCGCGCTATCAGCCACCACCACCGGCGCCCGGCATGCGTCCCTATCCGCCGCCAGGCGCCTCTTTTCCGGTGAGTTTTTCACGAATTTTTCTGCACTTACGGCGTTCATTTAAACATGTATAATCTTATCCACAACAGCCGCGCGGGTTTCCCCTGCATCCGAACACCACGCAACCCGTTCCCGGCACCGCGAACGTGGCCGGAGTACCGGGAGTTCCTGGAGTGCCCGGCGTACCGGGACCATCGCTATTGCAGCGCGCCGCCCAACAGCCGGGCTTTCAGAGCAGCCTGCGAGGCACTGGAGCCGGTGGTGGTGGTGTCGGTTCCGGCGGAGGCAGCAAGAGGTCAAATGAATCCCGCAGTTTGGGCGGCGGCGGTGGAAAAAGTGATTTTGTAACGGCCAAAAAGAAAAAGAAGCTGGCCGACAAGATACTACCGCAGAAGGTGCGGGATCTGGTGCCCGAATCGCAGGCGTACATGGATCTGTTGACGTTTGAGCGGAAACTGGATGCCACCATTATGCGCAAGCGTCTGGACATTCAGGAGGCCCTTAAGCGACCCATGAAGCAGAAGCGCAAGCTGCGCATCTTCATCTCGAACACATTCTATCCCAGCAAGGAGCCCACAAACGATGGCGAGGAGGGCGCTGTTGCTTCTTGGGAATTGCGAGTGGAGGGTCGCTTGTTAGAGGATGGCAAGGGCGATCCCAATACAAAGATCAAACGCAAGTTTTCATCGTTCTTCAAGTCGCTGGTTATCGAGCTGGACAAGGAGCTGTACGGTCCAGACAACCATCTGGTCGAGTGGCATCGTACTCACACCACCCAGGAGACGGACGGTTTCCAGGTGAAGCGACCGGGCGATCGCAATGTGCGCTGCACCATCCTCCTGCTGCTTGACTACCAGCCTCTGCAGTTCAAGCTGGACCCGCGACTCGCCAGGTTGCTGGGCGTACACACACAGACCAGGCCGGTGATTATATCCGCCCTGTGGCAATACATCAAGACCCACAAGCTGCAGGATGCCCACGAGCGGGAGTACATCAATTGCGACAAGTATCTGGAGCAAATTTTCAGCTGCCAGCGAATGAAGTTCGCTGAGATACCGCAACGCCTCAATCCGCTGCTGCATCCGCCCGATCCGATTGTGATCAATCATTTCATTGAGAGCGGGGCGGAGAACAAGCAGACCGCCTGCTACGACATTGATGTGGAGGTGGATGATACGCTCAAAAACCAGATGAACAGCTTCCTGATGAGCACTGCTAGCCAACAGGAGATCCAGGGGCTGGACACTAAGATTCACGAGACGGTGGACACGATCAACCAGATGAAGACGAACAGGGAGTTCTTCCTGAGCTTCGCCAAGGATCCGCAAATGTTTATCCATCGCTGGATCATCAGTCAGACGAGGGATTTGAAGGTTAGTCGTGTTTTCTATGGGTCATACCGTTCTCTAAACCTTTTCCACTTTCAGCTGATGACTGATGTGGTAGGCAATCCGGAGGAGGAGCGTCGGTCGGAGTTCTACTACCAGCCATGGACGCACGAGGCCGTTTCGCGCTACTTCTTCACCAAGGTCAACCAGAAGCGGGCCGAATTGGAGCAGGCGCTGGGTATACGCAATGGCTAGGTGAATGCTAAGCTGATCTCCACCAGCCAATTCGTGGAGTCAACGTCAAGCGACCTCCATAAACCGTGCGCACGGCAACTCTTTTTCCTTCGCCAGTTTAGTTTAAGCTTAAAATATATCCCTTTTTTTTCCGAAAAACAACTCCATCCCGTTCCATAACGTAATCCCTTTTCCAGTTGTCCCCAAATACCCATATCCAGCAAAAATATTGGACTTAACAGTAAGCTAATTAAATGGCATACAAATATAAAACAGATCTTTATAATTTGATCCAGTTCACTTTTTAAAACACTATAGTTTAATTTTTATTACGTGTCATTTCATTTGATTCTATATATTAAGCAGACTTCTGATGCTTTTGGGTTTCCTTTCAATTTCATTAAATGCATTTTGTGTTGGTTAATTGAGATATTAGGATCACTTATAGGCTTCTATTACGATTTCATGTTAACTGATTGTTTCTAACATCCGTTTTGATCTACATTTGGATATATTATTGTAAAGTGTACCATTTGGCTTTTTAGTTGGCCAATTCAAGAATTAGAAAGGCCAGCGCTTAAGTCATCTGCCATTATTTCTAAATTTCAGCTTAAAAATAAGTGTTTCAGTAAATTCCATAGTCTTGCAATCTTATGTTTCTTATTGATTTAAAATGGTATAAAATGCATAAAATGGTATAAGTTGACGCCACACAAGCACACAAACAGTTGAGTCTACAACAGAGAATTAATATCACTAATAAACTAAAGACGGACTCGGATTACTACAACTCGGACTAAACCTGAAGCTATAGGCGGAATGTGCAGCCTTTGCTTCTCTTGCTGATATAGTATCAATTTCGCTTTTTACGATTGGCAACAGTGGAAGCGCACGAGCTGTTGGCCGTATCTGGTGTCTCGCTAATGCCCAGACCCGTGTCCAGACGACTTTTGTCCACCGGATACAGCCAGCGCTGGTACAAGTAAATAATAAACACAATATCATCGCGCAGACAGGCCACCCGATGGGCGGTGGGCATGGTGATGATGAAAGCAAAGAAGTCATCGATGAAGGTGTTGAATGCTTTATACATAAATGCGCGCCACGGCAATGCGGCCACGGACTTCAGCTTGTAGTTCACAAACAGTTGCGGCAACATGAACAGAAAGCCGAAGGCGTACACTCCGTTCACCAGCGAGTTGAGTGTCCAAGAGTACCAGGAGCGGTGCGGCTGGTAGAGGAGCGAATAGACCGCTCCGCATATGCAAAGCGGATACAGCAGATAGCTCAGATACCGCATGCCCTGCCTGTCGAACTGATCGGTCTTTTGCTCCTCCGCCAGCTGCCCGGACTGCACATCCGATTGCTTGCCATTCCGCCGGTCAACTTGCTCCAGCTTGCGTCGAATTAGGCCACTGAAGCTAAACTCCAGACGCAGGATTTTCTTGCACTTCCACAGCTCAATGAGCGTGCCCAGGCCAACAGGCACAAGAACCAGGTACGAGGTATTCTCGTCCAGCAGATAAAAAAAGATCACGATCTGCGAAAACGCTCGCCACATTGTGGTACGGCTTGATAGCCCCTCATACGACTGCTTTTTACGCCAAAAGGCCACGTCGTTCTTCAAGCTCAAAAAGTCGAAGAGCATCTGCGGGAAAAACGGAAACATTAATTAGTAATAGTACTTGAACATATGAACGTATATTGAAATTTTAGGCGAGTCATACGTTTCTGTTGTATTTCTGATATTATATCCTGTCCAAATCTTCATTTTCCCAAGGATTTTCCAATCCCTACTTACATGGATACTGGACACAAAGATGGTGCCGCACAGCAAGTACACATTAGTGTCCGAGAAGATGCCCTTCACCTCGTCGATGTCCTTGGTGGCAAATCCAATGGTGAGCAGCGCCTGGGTGGCGTGTTCCATGAGCAGCATCAGCCGGAGCTTGCCCACACCCACGGGCTTGTAGTGGAAGCTGAAAGTGAATTCGGTGGTATCGCGGGTGACGGGCACCAGATTCTTTAGACGTGTATTAAATGTATCAGTATGCAGGATGGGCAGGATCTGTTGATTGCGATTGACGCGTATCAACGGTGCCATTTCCGGTGGGACATCCGCTTGCGAAACGGAAAAGAGATCGGTGAGCAGTGTGACGTAAACATTCGAGCGTATGTGGGTGCTGGGACGTCCGGAGGTGGAAGCTTCCTTCTTGTTCTTCTCCTGGGCAGCGGCTGCTGCTCCTTTCTCTGATTCTCCAAGCAAATTGAAGGCCTCCGCTCGCGGCACCATGTAATCCGTGAGGCTCATCGTATGGACAACGATGGGCCCATCTCTGCGCAGGCTCCGCCATTCCAGTGGCTCACCCTCCAGGGCCAAGACCACATGAAAGTACAGGGAGCCGTTGCGGCGCGTCTTCAGCGGCACATCCACTACGAAGTCATGCTCAAAACTCTGATCATAGTCGAACCGCTTGGCCTTGTACAGATCCCGCACCTCGGAGGCAATGGGACTTCTGCTGAGGGAGGAGAACAATGCCAGCTGGAGGCGTGGCCGATCCGTCAGGAAGGATGTGTAGCACGGAACACCGCTGCACTGCAGTGTGTTGAAGAGCTGCGACATCTGGTAGATGGAGTGGCCGATGTACGCCAGAAATGCCACGCCTAGCAGCGTGGAGATCGATGGCAGGGCCATGTCCCCCTCTTACGGTTTTCTCGTTGGTGCGTTGACCGGCGGAATGGTGGGTGGAGGGCGGTGGGCGGTGGTTGCGAGCCGAAGAAATTGGGGAAACTAAAAACTAGACTCAATTTTTCGATTTTCTGACCTAGGGCCGGCAAAACATCGGACGAAGCTATCGATAGTACCGGTCGTGTTGATGCCCGAAAGCTTGAGAACTATCGGTTTCCTGCATTAACGGTATTTACTGAGAGTCTATGTTTCAAATTACAACAATAATTATTTTGAAGTACGTACGATTAATATCGGTCGCTCCGATACATCTCCCGGCACGTGTATACAAACTTTCTTCTTTCCTATCTAAATGCGATAATTAGCTCAAACTAAGACCAATGGAGTCTTCGATATGCCGGGTTTGTCTGGAGCAGAAGGAGAACATGCTAAACGTCTTCTTAGCTACACCGGTATCCGGGATTTCTATAGCGAGCATGATTTCACAGTGGAGCGGCTACCCAGTTATGCCGCAGGATCCCTTTCCCAAGACCATTTGCCAGCGCTGTGTGCAGGATGCGCACAATGCTTACGAGATGGACTACGCGCCAAAGGACTCGGTGAAAGAGGAGTTGGTGGAGGAGAAAGAGGAGAAGGAAGCAAATGAGGGAGAAAGAGCGAATCAGTTCGATATACAACTGAAGGAGGAAATAATCGATGACAGTCAGAGCGCGCTGGAGCCAACCGATGATTTATGCAGATTTTGGGGGGACTCCCACGATAACCAGGTTCCACCGCACGTAATGAACGAGCCACTGGTGGAGAACGATGAAAATGACTGCCCCAACTCAAACCGCAAATTGGAGCAGGAAACTCGGAACTTCGAAACCCAGCAGAAACCCAAGAATAATAAGAATAAGAAGGAGATGGAAATGATTAAGTGCCCTGAATGCCCAAAACTGCTACCGAGAAAGAGACTTGAGCAGCATGCGGTAACCCAGCAGGATAGTCGACCATTTGAGTGTCCCATCTGTGGGAAGGCCTACAAACTATCTAGCCACCTTAAAGCTCACAGCTGGGTCCATTTGACCGGTGACCGACCTTACAAGTGTTCACAATGTCCCAAGTCCTTCACACTAAAATCCAATCTTAGGCGCCATGAGAAACTACACAAGACGGAACCTAAAGTAAGGGTCAGGAAGCTGAAATAGGCAGAGGGATAGAGCCAAGTTGAAGAACGGCCAGGAAGCTAAAAGACTTCTGCATCGTACATATAAGGGATCTCCGGAATGCGGACACCTACAAAGTACCTTATAATGATCATATATAAGATCAACTTTTTGTATATAGTTTACACACACATGTTAACCCTTTGCCCTACAAACGGGTTTTAGAATCGTTGTCTTTATTTTGAAAATGTGGTTTTGATTTATGGTATATGGAATATACCTCAAGATAATATGGAATGAACTTCAAACGCTTGGACTTTGTATTTGGTAGCAGTTTTTATTTAAAGGTTTATGTATAACAATATACAGCATATAGTATATACAAAATGATTTCATAAATTTAGGTACTAGAGTTTTATATAATTATAACTATAAAGTACTATGTATAACTCTCTCTTCGTCACGCGCAAAATTTCCAAACCTTTGGAATAAATTAAAGGACTAAAATGTACACATCATGAAACAAAAATATGACAAAAATAGTTTGAATCGACTTGCACGCTTCAAGTTGCACGTCATGTTTTCCTCGATTTTGATTTGTTTGTTTTTTTTTTTTAGCTTCTGTTTTACTCTTTGTAACTGGAACACATTGTATGTGAAAAATGTGGTGCAGAGTGACAAGAACATGTATAGATAGCGATCCGAAATAGTCGAGGGTGCAGATGAGTCGATGCTATAAATATGTGGGCATTGTTTGATAGACAAGAAATAGATAACATGACAAAATGGAGGGTATAAATAATCGGAAATGGGCGGATCTGGGCTCAGGACTTAGGCGAGGCGTTTCTTTCGACTAGGCGACAGGATCTTCAGCATTGTGACGACGGGCGCCTCAAAGGACATCGATACCACGAAGGACAGGAAGTAGGAGGCCACCGTCAGACCGAAGAACATGACAACCTGGAATAGGAAATGAAAAGGTTTAATTGGAAATGAATTTTTTAAAAATGAATTTTTAGAGCAATCCTACAGCAGCTGCAGCTTCCAACTCACCATCAGATCCCCGCCCAGGTGAAGCGGCGCGTCCGAGTTGAGCGCCATGGAGCGGATGACGATCGGGTGGACCAGGTAGGCGCAGTAGGTGACGCGGGAGAAGGGATAGAGGCAGGGCGCCGAGAGCAGCGAGTTGATGTAGCCGCCGTAGCCCGTGGAGCAGGCGATGGTGATCCAGGCCAGGGAGAGCGCCCAGGCCGAGTGGCTGAGCGAGCTGTAGGCGGCGGCAGTGAACTGCGACAGGTCGGCCTTGTACAGCCCAAAGACCAGGACGAACAGGTTGAGCATGGCCAGCGTCCAGGCGGTGGCCACCGTCAGCTTGGGCAGGCGGATCTTGCAGTTGGTCCTGAACAGAATCCAGCCCACGGCCATGCCGATCAGATAGGGACCCAGGCGAGTCCAGGGCTTGTCGTAGATCTTGTCGAACAGCGCAAGCGGATCGTCTGTGTTTGGTCGATGGTTGTTGGTGAACGCAATCACCGCCGTGGTGATCCACGACAGCACCAGGAACACCAGCGTCGTGATGGCCGAAAGCTTGAAGTGACGCACGCCCACGATCAGGATGATGGCACCGATCATATAGAACTGCGTGTCATTCGCCAAATACCAACTCCAGAGCATGCACTGTGGGTTTACAGAATGAGGGGGTTATTGTTGCTAAATAAGAAGTAACTAGCTTGGAATATTACTACACCCATTCCCTTGTAAGGCCTAGAAGCTAAATTGGAGTTTAAAGCATTTATAGCACTCACCATCTCGTCGACAGGAAACAGGGTGTTGATGTAGAGGATGTTGCGCCACCAGTAATCCGGGCAGGTGATGTGATCCATGGTGGGTGGGTCGAAGATCGAGTAGGTGGCCAGGTACTTCATGGTCACCTGGACCACGCCCAGGACGAACAGATAGGGGGCGGTGAGTCGCATGAAGCGGTAGGCGACCAGGCCGAAGAAGTGTGCAGTTCCAGCCGTAAACTCATTGGCTCCCTTGCTCAACTTGTTCAACTTGCCCTTGGCATTCGTGCGGAAGTAGATGTACGAGATCAGGAAGCCGCTGATGAAGAAGAAGGTGTCCACGCTGAACGGCCCATTGGTGATGGCCTGGAAGAAGAAGTTCTGCTCCACCTCCTTGCGCATCTCCATGTTGTCGGAGTACTTGAAGACCACGATGCACGTGTGTCCCAGAATGACCCAGGCCATGCTGAAGGCACGCAGTCCATGGATGCACGGAATGGTATCCGCACCCACATTCCGATCGCAGATCGCATTGAAATTCGTTATCGCCGAGAAGGAGAGCAGCAGCTCCGAGTAGATGCTCAACTTCTCTGGCTCATGCAGATGCCCCTCCAAGTGCTCATCCGAGTTGCTGTTGTTGCTCCCGCTGCGATGATGCTCGTGGTGATCGTGATCCGCATCGTGTTCGTGGTGGTGTCCATTGCCGCTGTCATTATCATTCGGTGGCAGATTCAGTACCAAAGCATCCAATTGCTTTAGCGAATTCGAGGACTGCGAGTGATCCGACTGCTTGAGAGGATCATCGTGGGCGGTCATCGTGTCACTGTAGTCTGAGGAGGCACACCCGATTCCCGAGCTCGTCTCGCTGTTGTTCATCATCTCCTTGTCCTGGCGACGCAGTGCCTCCTTCAATTTGCGCCTCAGGTAAATCTCGAACAGGGTGCCGCAGCAAATCAAGCCCAACACAATGCTGGATACCACACTAGAAGCAGATAAGTGTAATTCAGTGATATTATTAACTATAAACAATTATATATAATTATTATAATTATATTATATATTATTTTCATATAATATAATATAAAATTATATATGGTTTTACTTTGTATTAAATGAAACATTCAAATATTCAATTTCAATTCCAAAGAAAAGAGCTATACAAATCAGTATTTTACTGTAAGAAATTGTTCTCCGTGCAGTTTCAACAGGCATGGGGAAGCATATAATCATATTAGCCGCTAATATTTTAAGTTAACAAATGGAGTTTCGCTTTTTATTATAATTCGATTTGGGGGAAACAAAATTTCACACAAATCGACGGACTCAACAACTGACTGACGCTAATGTCCAAAACCAACTGGCCAAAAGCCCAAGAGCTGCGCATTGTGTTTGTTCAATTGTTTAGTGGACTCTGGCATTTTTGAAAGTGAACTTTTGATTGGTGCCTTGGGTGGATGCGATATGCGATTCCAGCCACTTACATCAGCAGGCAGAAGGTCTTGTCCGCCCAGATGTTGAACTCCTTGTCGGTGGGCACACGGATGTCCAGGACTCGCAGATCCCGCGATGGTAGCTCCACATGGGCCTTGGAGCTCATCAGGCCGATATCCGCAATGGAGCAGCTGGAGGGCAGGCACATGCCCACGTAAATGGTGCGCAGCTGTGGGAACAGGACATTTAATAAGGCTTTTCCTTAGATTTACAACATATTTGCACTTCATGAGGTCTCCTCGTGATTCTCTTACCACTTGGGTGGGCAGCGTCTCGTTGAGCTGCATCTTGATCACATAGAATCCGGGAACAAAGGGCGGCGGAGCGTTGTAGACACTGCTGTATCCTTGGGTGTGAGCGGCGGCGAAGGGCAGGCCGCTGTTCTTCGTCTCGCCCTCTGGAGAGGATGCGGTCGAGGAGCTGTTGTCCTTGCCGGGAGCACCGATCTGGCCGTCGTCAATGGCATCGCACAGGGCCAACGAACCCATCCAGTAGTTGTTGCCGTAGAAGAAACCGGATGTATAGTGACCGGAAGCATCGTCCACTGCAAAGCAAATCGACAAAAAGGAAGAAAAGAGAAGGGAAGGGCATCAGAAGCGCTCGAAATGCAACATGCTCGCTGCACTGCGGCCAGTGTGAGTGGGGCATGTGTAATATAATAAATAAAAAACATAAAACTGGCCATTATGCAATTGCAGCGCAGTCGTCAAGTGCCAACTTCAAAATGCCGCCATCAACTTGATGACTTGACGACTGAGCGGCGCAAGAAATTCCCTGTACTCGTAAAGCTTCAAGTTAGGCTAAAAAGGTGTGTAAATGTTTTATATTACAATAGTCTGTGGAAAATCATGGCATTTCAATGGTTCCTGTATCATTATGTTACATGGGCTCAAATGTCCTGATACCTAAAGTGGTTTCTAGCTGCTTGGCTCGCAAATGGCACTTAGTAGATGGACAATACAGTCCAACTGGAGTACTAGAATTCAGATTCAATCCTGGCCCAAAGCAGCTCCACCGATTTATTTGCACGAAGTTGAGGCTGTTTGCTATTTGTTTTCGTTTTCTTGCAACCAGTTGCCAAACTGGGGACTTGAGACTGCGACTGGAACTGGGACTGTGGGTCCAACCAGTTTTTTTATCGCTGCTTTTCTGTTCGAAAATGGCAACTTAAGTCATGTAATGGTCTTTTGTTCGGTTGGCGTGGTGACACGGGGAAAATGGCAACTCTTACGTGAGCCAACTACGAGCAATTATCCACTGTCCAGTGCTTGGACACTTCCCCGATGGCTTGGCCAAGCAGGAACTGATCTCTGGGTAATCTCTGGGTTACACAAGACCCGGCCATGACCATGACGAGCCATCCGTCGGAAATGTTTGCCAGCATTTGCATGTGCCGAAATCAGAAGTGTTTACCAAATGTAGTGGTGAGCAAACGCGGAAGGAAAATGAGTTGATGATTTGTGGTTCAATTTGGACGAAAAACATGAAATAACAGCTGGTTTTTATCAGCTACTCCCATTCGTTTTACAACTAAACTTGGTGCAGCCGTGATAAAAGTGGTTTCTGTTTTCCAGCACACCCTCATCCGATCTCTGCGTAATGTTTAAACATGTTTTCAATTTAATTTAGCGATTGAGGTCATTTGATTTGCTGGTAGTCAGCATTTCATCACAAAACCTCCATCGTCCATCGATACGCCAGCACATGGCACTGCGATACATGTGATGTATGTACTTCTTCAATTGAACGTGTCATTCAGGCGTTTAA